TTAGATTTTGAGATGAAATTTTTAAATGTATTTACAAGTTATATTTGGATTTTTTAATGCATCTTCCTAGTTTAATCTTTTCCAACTATTTATTTCGGAGTTGCAAATCCTACGCGCCTTGAATCTATGTCAAAGATACTATAGGTTGTGGTCAGGAATGCGTCACCTAGTATCCATTCCTGCAAAATTCAAAATTATGAATTATCCATGGTTATTCCAAAAGTTAAAAGTATTTCTCAAATAAAAAAATATTGGTTAATTGTTACTCACAGTGTCTTCTTTATCCATCACATCCACCCAACTCTCACAATAGTCTTCGTCAATATTCTGCTTCTTATAATCCGATTTTAACCATGTCGGCTCACCTACAATATATTTCCACTGAATATCAAATTTTCGTCCGGCCAACGTGATAGAAATGGCGCTACCTTTGAGGTTTCTGAACCGACATGGAAACGCCCAAACCTTTCGCGTCGCGTCGAATTTGGCGTTTTTTATTTTAGTATGAAAATCCTCTACACTGTCGTGAGGTAAGATAATCGCGGTTGAACCAGTATCGATCATGGCATGACCCCCACCAATAACAATTTCTTGTGTTTTGGAGGTTGAGTCAGGATAAAGCTTCAAATTCTCAACCGGAATAATCCAATAACTTGGATCTTTACCAAGAGAAAGATCCACGTAGGTGATCGAACCTGAATAATTATTTGGATCTACACCACCGAAATGGTATTCTCCCGTTTTCACATCAGGTTGATGAAAAAAGACGGAAAATATTCGACTTGGAATTTGAGACTGTTTAAATAAAACATCAATTAATGGTGGAGGTGAATACGAAAGATTTTCCCCTCTTCTATTTTTGTGAGTATTAATTTTATCAGGAAATCCGAGTCCAATGATTCCATCTACACGTTTTTGATACTTCCATCCAATCGATTCGGTCAAAGCTAATCCGATTGTGGCATTCACTGCTTTAGCGCTACCGATCGCAATGGTATCCTGAGCATAATATCCCGTCGCTTTATCCCCGTCAGAGTATTCGATTTTCCATGTAATATCAGCGTTTTTCAAGAATGTTTTAGAGCGTGAGGGATTGAACAATGAATGAGATTTACACGCTTCAGATTTACATTCTATAGACGGAATCCAAAATTGAGCTGAGCCTGTGTCGAACTAGCGTATTGTAATTTTGATAAGTTTTAGAGCCAAGGTAAGAGATCGATTTTATTTCCCGAAAATTATTACACGAATAAAGAAATCTAAGTTAAGTTAGAAAGGAAAAACAATACCTGAACATGAAACTCTTGAGGAGGTGTTCCAACTTTAATAAGGGAATAATACTATTGAAAAAACATAAATTTATTTAAATTATTTTGAGATATCGTTCACAAAATATTGAATGAAAATGCTTTTATTTATTTTCCAGATATTTACCTCGCCAGAAGTGTAGGTCGCGTCTGTTTTAAAAATTTTTGCTCTTTGTCTGAGACGACGATTTGGCGGAACAATTAATTTTCCCCGATCACATTTCTGAATTTGGACTCTTGATAATAAAGACCAAAAACAAATTCATGTGTTTAAATGAGTAAATATGAAAATTCAAAGGAGATAGATACAAGATCAATACATTTTTTTGTTTGGACTTACTTGAGAAGATTTTCACTCGCAGCTTTTACAATTGAACTCGAACCTGACAGCAACCAAAACGAAAAAAGGAAAAGAATGATAATAGCCCGAGGAACCATAATTTTTTTATTGAATAATAATCTCAGCTTAATGTTCGTTTGGTCAAAGAATTGATTGAAGAGGAATAGAATTTGTAGGTGTTTTATATTTGAGAGTATTCAATGCTAGCTAAAAAAACTCAAATTTTGTAAAGATCTAACTATAACTGTAAGTTTCAAAGCAAAATTTTCGAAAAGTCCCTTTCTGAAGTTCCAATGGTTCTTTATCTTGACTATTCACTGAATAGCCCAAAAAACAACCTGATCACCCAATGTTTTTAAAATGTATTAAAATGTGACCTCGAAAGAAAAAAGAAAATCCAAAATAATGATTAATAGTGACACACCCACTCTAGAATAAAAAATAAAAAAATAAATGGAGAAATGACTTTTTCAGAACGCGTATTGATGCACCGCGATTCAATACGTGATTGATCAAAGGAAAAATGAAAGTATGATGATGATTTTACAAAGTGAATTTTATTAGAAACCCATGCACAGCACAAAGCTCTAAATAATAACAAACCATAGTTCGTTTACGCTATTTATATTTTTTTCAATATGAGGTGAATTTACATCATTACAAAGACTGAAAACGGAAAAGTCTCTATTTAGAATATTCGGAATTGATTTCCTTTTTTAGGAATTTCTTCAGCTATCCATGAAAGCCCTATTCTCATCTATTACTCATAGAAAAATAATTAATGTCAGCATTCAATCATTGTACTGATATTTAATACAGAAAATTTAAATCCAATATTATTATGCAAGCCCAAAAAGTTGAATGTTTGATAAAAACAGGGTTCTGTATCCAAATCTGCTTGTATCTCTGCAGCTGTAACCAATTGATTGCTAAGATTCTATTGATTCGATTCAAACTGTTCCTCGTTCATGTACATAATGAGTGGTTCGTTTGTGCTTCTCACACTTGTAAACTTGTCATATTTCCCCGTTTTTTTCATTCCAGGATTCAAATTCTGTTTAACTGCCATTGCATGCTTGGCGTAAAGTTAAATAATAAACTTTTTCTGACATAGCAATAAGAATAGTAACTTGAATTTTTCCTAAGCTATATAGAAATAGAGTAATTCTAATATTTAAATTTTTTCAGTAATAGAATAGAATCGCTAAGATAGAATGATGAGAGAAACCAATAAAAATACAAATAACCGTGAAAATGTAACAAGATCTAATAAACAAAATGCAAGCAATTAAGTTCAATTTCTTTTTATAAAACTAACATAAGGGTACAGGAAATTAGCTCAAACATTAGAATTATGGTTAGTATCATTTTTGTAAAAGAGAGACTTTGATTTTGTTCAATCTTTTATTTTAAGAATAATTTATGAGGGTAAAAAACATGACTGGTCAAAAAGTTTAAAAGAACACATATTTTTGAAGAAGAGTGGATGGTTAAATTTAAATAATAAAATCAATTGAAATTAAAAGCTTGAAATGAAAATTTGCTTTTATGTATTACTTTTTTCATTTTTTTGTTAAATTAAAAAAAGAACTAATCAACTAAGATAGCTTTTTTTTCTTGAACCTTCAAATAAATATTCCAAAAGATTTTTATTTTTTAATCAAATATTTCCATTCAAAAAAATTGCAATAATATATGTTTAAAAGAAGAAAATGCATGAAACTGCTAAAATACAATCTTTAATAAAGATACTATTAAAAAAAATTATTATCATATTCAGAAGGTTGAAAAAAAAGGGAACAAGTCTTTTATTCAACAGTTTCAGGCATCTGGCCAACTAGAATCAATTCAAAACATACTTACCAAATCTCTGAATTTGATACAAAAAAACAAAATTTTAAATTCATTCATTTTATTTGTATTGTGCTAAAAAATCGAAGCAAATGATTAATCGAACCTATCTAGAGAACGACAATACAATGCTGTTAAATATAAAATATTGCCATGAATAGACTATTGTTCCAAAATTCTGAAACTTTAAACTAAATAATCCTAAGCAGTCTTTCACTGAGATTCTCTGATGATTTTTCCGGTTGATTTATGAGTTTTTTCACTGCTAGAAATTTTTTAATTGCAGTTCAGCAAAAAGCAAAATGTTTGAACTAATTCCTGGATTTGACAAATTAGGCAAAGAAGGTTCAGTAACGATAAGAGAATTTCCAAGATACAAAACGGAGGAACAATGATATCAATAAATTTGGTAAGCTACAAGTCTGTACTACGTGAAGCGTATAGCAATGAAAATACCCAAGAAATTTCAATCAATGCAAGTTCTCAAGAAATTGTTTTATGTAACAATCTAAATGAAAATATTTTTCTCAGCAAGCTTTAAAATAATTTGGAAACCGAAAAGTCAGTTGAATTCTCTGATAACGAAAATGAAATCATTCTGAAAATGCAAATCCTGAAAGAATATTTGAAAAAGATACTCAATTCTAATAGAAGAAAGTCTTTGGAACTATTTCTTAGAACATTTGCCCTGAAGAAATTTTTAGAAACGAGAACTCACAAGATAATCTATACCAAACCAAAGTATAAACCTTGAGATGATACGTCTAAAAAATGTTAGAATTTAGTCCATTCCAGAGGCTGATAAAGAAAAAAGTATTAAAAAATCAGTTCTTCCAAGCGCACGGATCATCGAAAAAGATTGCGCAAAAATCTAAAAACTACTTCAAACCCTTCAAGATGCTACAAAAATATCTTGAGATTATCTCCAAATTCAAGGAAGAAGCTCGAATTTCCTTCTCACTCAAACCAACTCCATGTGCCACAAATTCGACAATACTATAGTGGAATGGATTAGGGAGCCGATTTAGTCCTTATTGCGTTAATACAAAAAAGAGATGAATCGTCAATCAGTTGGTGGGATCGATCAGTGAATAAACATTAGATTGTTTAGTAGGGTTTTTTATGAAAAAGATCTGATTTCGGATTTTTCAATCGACTTCACTGGGTTCATGTATGGTTTCCTCGAAAATTTAACTAAAGGAAGAAAAGATACAAACAATCGTATAACTCAGAAAGAAAGAATCATTTACATGTTAGATATTAAGCAAAACACGAACGTCTTTACTGTCATGAAATGAGATTAATTGCTTAAAATTTTTGGGGAAGCCGCAAAATTGAAAAGTATCCAAACAGATAGCAGACGCGTAGAATAATTGTGCCCCGAGGTCTTTATTATTTGTCGGGATCTTATGAAGTTTCGTTGCCTCGAATACTAGATTAGATATTAAAGTAGTAATGACTAATTTATTAAAAAAAAAATCATAATGATGATACGACAATGAGCATCTGTGGTGTAGTGGTTATCACGTGTGCCTCACACGCACAAGGTCCTCGGTTCGATCCCGAGCAGATGCAACTATCTGACCTTGGCCACAAGAGAGTGCTTTTACTAACTCTTTTGATAGTCGATATAAATAATAACCTTATTTTCGTATATCAAACAATCAAGTTTTAGGCCCGAATCAAAAAATTATTATTAAAATTTCGGCTAAAATGCTTCTCTGTTATTAGATGATCAGTTAATTTAAGCGAAGCGGATCAAAAAGGTGGCTTTTTGGTTTTTTGCCAATCTCAACCTTCCCCTTGATGTTTTGTGGAAGACAACATTTCAGCAAGAGAACTAAATAAACATTTGATGACTAATCAAAAATCTCATACGTTACGCTGACGATCAAAAATTACGCCCAATTCTCGTAAAATTTAAGGGTTAATGTTTTTATGAAAGGTGGACTTGAAATCATCCGGCCGATGGATCTGATGTTTCTGAGTAGAATCATATGTCAAGATCTCAGTTTAAAAATAAGTGTTGGGGCGTATAGAACAGGAAAAGTCAAAAGCCCCAAAAGATTAAGAAACTTTTAGATCTGAAATGAGATTGACATTATCATGTAATGACGTAAGTGATGTTCAAAATTAATAAAATTTCTCGAACCACAAAAATTTTTCGTCGTAGATTCATCTTACCTATCCCAAAAATGGCTGCTATCCAACCACCCCTTTCGTTCAATCAAATACAACCTAGAGTTTTGAGACCGTTTGATGCAGGTGAAATTAGGATTTTGTTGGTTGAAAATGTTAATCAAAGTTCTGTTGAACTACTTTCTAAGGAGGGTTATCAGGTAAAAAAAAAAAGCAGCTTAATACTAAGGGGATCATTTGAGTTTCTCACAAATTTCCGATTAAATAGGTTGAGCATATTTCTAAAGCTCTTTCAGAATCTGATCTGATTGAAAAAATTCGAGATGTACATGCAGTTGGAATTCGATCAAAAACTAAAATCACTCAAAAAGTTCTAGCAGAAGCCAAAAAGCTATTGGTGATTGGATGTTTTTGTATTGGTACCAATCAAGTTGATCTTGAAGCTGCTGCTAGACAAGGAATTGCCGTTTTTAATTCTCCGTTCAGCAATAGTCGAAGTGTAGCTGAATTGGTTATTGCAGAGATTATTGCACTATCACGGCAATTGGGAGACAGAAATAATGAAATGCACCGGGGTGATTGGAATAAAGTCTCGAAAAAATGCTATGAAATTCGTGGAAAAAGTCTCGGTACGCAGCCTCATCCATTCAACGTCATATAATCTACCTTTTTCTAAATTATATTGATCCCAACACGTTTAATATTAAGGCATTATCGGGTATGGTCATATCGGCTCTCAGCTTTCTGTATTAGCAGAAGCAATGGGCATGAAAGTATATTTTCACGATATAATACAAATCATGCCACTTGGCTCTGCCAAACAATTAGGCAGTCTTTACGAATTATTGGAACTTGTAGATTTTGTAACTATACATGTGCCTGAAACCGAAGATACGAAGAATATGATTGGAGATACCGAAATCAAACTTATGAAACCCGGTAGTTTCTTAATAAACGCTGCACGAGGCTCAGTTGTAGTAATAAATGCTTTGATTAAAGGATTAAAGAGCAAACATTTGGGGGGCGCAGCGATTGATGTATATCCACGTGAACCGGGGGCTAACGGAGTGGGGTTGTTCAATAAAGATTTAAATGATTGGACACCTGAGCTATTGGAATGCGAAAATCTAATAATGACACCACATATAGGTTCGAAAAATTTTTTTCTTCTTGAAATGACCTTTAAACCAACTACAGACCCTGAAAAATAGTATCTAGGTGGTTCCACCGAGGAAGCTCAAAAAATGATTGGGATCGAGGTGGCTACATATCTCACAAAATTCATAAATAATGGAACTTCAATTGGCGCTGTCAACTTCCCTGAAGTAGATTTACGTGCGATCCAAGAGACACAAAATTCATGTCGTCTCTTATTTGCACATCAAAATATACCAGGTGTACTCAAGGTATTTTTATGAAGCCTTTTTAGTATCTCCATGTTCACACAGTAAGAAATTTCATTTTAGATTTTGAAATATGACATTTAATAGGAGATCAATGATATCCTTTCCGATCACAATGTCGATAAGCAATTCTCAGATTCACGTGGTGACATTGCTTACTTGATGGCTGATATTTCCGACGTGACTTACGCAGATATTCGAAAGATTTATGACTACGTTAGCTCGGTCAAGGCTAATATATTAACAAGGATTGTGTACTAGGCACAAAAGCTTGGTAATAGAGAGAATTTCTACTCAGAATGATATAGAAAAACGCCCAAACATCTAAATATTCGATCTGCAAATCAAATTTTTAACAGCATTTCGTTATTCTTCGCAAACTCCAAAACCTGCCTAATGTCAGAGCATTGCTTCTTGACTTCCTGAATCATCTTCATCATCTGTTCCTTCATACTAACATGATTAACCTATGAAATAAATTTTAACTATCAACGTTTATTTACTTTATTGTCCCATATAATCATTTCATAAGAAAATACCAATTTTTCAGCGGCAGCTCTTGTTTCCCCCATTGTCTGAATAGTTGTCTGCAAATTGTTCAAATGATCAATAATATCGGTTTTTCGAGAATCACTAGATTCAAGTCATTTCGAAGCAAATGTGTCTGACGGTGATTCTATTGGCATTATAAATTTTGTTTAACTAAAAAGACAGATTGAGAAAAATATTAATCCTTTCATTGAAAAATTCATGCATCCTTATCTTAAATTTGTTATTATCTTGCTTTGTTAATAATTAATATTTTCATTAAAGCTTTTAACTTACCTAATTTAATTATATTATTTGTGACTTTCATATGAAAAAATTTTCGTTTTATAAATACATTGAAAACTTAATGCTATTTTTTATTATTTTTAAAATATTTGCTGTAATTATTTTTTAAATGTTTTAATATCAATAAATCAAAAAATTATATTATTATGTTATTTAAAATATTTAAACCAATATTTGTATTAGTGTTTTTTATTGCCAATACAAATCCAGTTTAACTACTAACTATTTTACATATAAACCAATTATTATACATTAAATGTAAATTATATTGAAAAAATACATAATTGGTTACTTAAATTACTTTAATAAACTTATAAAATAAAATATTTGGCTTATACAATAATTTAAATAATTATTATTTTAAAAAAACTTAGATTTAATATTAAAGTATTATGAATTCCAAAAATCAAAATATTTTAAATATTTTATTATTTACAAAAGATTTTATGTTATTATTTATTTTTTTATTGTCTATTAAACATATATTATATATTTTTTGAATTTAATAAAACTTTTAACTATTTTAAAAAGATTTTTAATTTGGTTTTTTATTAAAAAAAAGCTAAATATTTGATGTTGTAATGAGTTTATGTTTAATAATTTAATAATTTAAACTATCAGAAAATTATTAAATTCTTAATTCTTATAAGTAAAATTTCAAAAAAATAACTTGGATTTAAACTTTTTATTTAGTACAGTCAGACCTCCATAAAAAAACTTTCGATAAAAGAACAACCTCTTACAAAGAACATTTTTTTATAGAACCAATTGATTAATTAACAATTTTCCCTTTATAAGAACAAGAACATAATTTTATCAAACGTTTATTCGAAATTTACCTTCATATAAGAACAAATATCACGTGCTAGATTTTAATTGGTAATTGGGAAAAGAGTTAGAACGTATTGAATTGATTTTATCCTAACTTTCTTTTAAATTGATTTATATTGGACTTACTCTTTTTAATCTTGTCTGTTTTCATGTACAGCCACTTAGCCTCTATTGTATTATCACAATGTCAGAACCTTTATTCAAAAAACAAAAACAAGCAGCAGTTAGTAAAGAAATTTGTCAATATTCCAAAAATCACTATGGCACAAAACATGATAATATTGTAGCTTACTTCAATCATAAATATCCAGAACTCCATATTTCTCATCCAACTGTCTCTAAGATAATCAAAAAGCATGCAAAGTGGTTGAATATTGAAATTGATGAAGTCTCAGAAAGATCTATTCGACACAAAAGCGTTAAATTTCCATTATTAGAACAAGTAACTGCAGCCACTATCGAATTCAATGATCAACTAATTAAAGAGAAAGAAAGAAAATTTGCCAAACTTCTTGGTATGCACAAAAATGAAATACAATTCTCAAATGGATGGGTTCAAAAATTCAAAAAACAAAAACCAGTTACGTGTTTACCGATTTCATGGTGAAGCAGGAAGTGTATCAACTGAAAGTTTACCAGAAAAATGAAGAAAATTAAAAACCATTATATCCGAATTTGATCCTGCTGACATATATAATGCTGACGAAACAGGATTATTTTTTTGGTATGGGACCAAATCAAACACTTGCAAAATGTTGAAATGCAGGAAAAAAATTGGTATATTATATTTACCAATTGTTATCGTTATATATTATTGTTATATTAAATTAATTGGGTTTTTTATAGGATAAATCTCGGATTACAATTCTTCTTGCTACAAATTCAACTGGATCTCACAAATTGCAACCTTTAGTAATTGGACATGCAAAAAATCCAAGATGCTTTAAAGGAATTAATACTTCCAACCTACCTGTAATTTACAAATTCAATTCCAAAGCATGGATGCGCTCAGATATATGGAAAGCATGGCTCAAATATATAAATGAAGGCTTTCGAATTCAAAATCGGCATATATTACTTTTGGTTGTAATACAACTTCTCATCATACTCAAATCGGGGAAGATTCATTCCAATTAACCAATATTACTTTGCACTATTTTCCTCCAAATACAACATCACATCCTCAACCAATGGATGTTGACATTATCAAATTTTTCAAAGGCAAATATAAGCACTTATATTGTCAACATATTTTACATCAATTTGAACAAAAAATTAATATTGAACAGTTAAGTAATATAATATATACAGTATTATTATCATTATATATTATAAAATTTTATCTAATATTAATTTATTTTTTAGAAA